TACAATGCCACGGGGCCAAGCAGCAGAAAACCCATGCAGGGTGGCTGCACTCTTCTTGTATACCAAAGAGCAGAGTTCCTGTGGCAGAAGGCTGAAAGGTGAGTGGACTAAAGCAAGGATATGTCCACTGGGTATGTAAAGTAAACTAAAACCCTGAATAAGAAGAAATACAGCATGGAACATCATCATATCAACTTGAGACCTCTAATCTGTTAGGACTAAGAACTCTGTTCATATAGGCCTGGTCTATCCATACAAACTTGGTGAGGAACATAAACAACTGTGTCATAAAATCCGTAGTATAGGCACAGTTATACTGGTAACTTTTATCAGCCCTTTGGCTGATCTACTTTATTTTTGCGTGGAGAAAATAGTATTTACGATACCAGCAAGTGAACTGTTTTGCCTGTACAACTGCATTTCCACTAAGATGGTTAATTAGTATATTTAACCCCTTATGACTATACTAGCAAAGGTTTTCAGCCGTTGACAAGAATAACTGTATTGTTCTGCAGCAAAGGACTTTTCAGTATATAATCGCATGTGCACGTTGGAAAACTAGACTTGGAAATATAACAGCTACAAGTGAAGGCAAAGGAGGGGGGGTTTTTGCCTATTTTTTTACTTGAGCATTCTCAGTGATTGTAGAAGGTCTGTAGTCAGAGAGACACTAAACAATCACACAGATACTCAGCACAACAAAACTACTGAAGCCTCTTTGCTACTAGAAAAAATGGAACAACTGGATTATCTTTGACTTGTTTATTTTACAAATAAATATTGCCTGTGCATTGTATTTAGGAGATTGAATACCTTGCAGCAAGTCCCCACCAAAAAGATGCTTTTATCATTGTAATACACAAAGCAGCAGAGGTGGACTGGAGCCTTGGGGTATTATATTTGAGTCCCTGCCAGCTAGTGACAATGTCTTTGTGAAAATATATTAACAGTAGTGTCAGAGGCTTGCAGCTGGTGCTGCTGTTGCTATGGACATTGAACAAGGAGAGCAAAATACTTAGCTTTTTCGAACCCATTGATATGTATACTAAAATGTGCAGTTTGAGTCTGCCTGCAGACTCTGAGATCTATTCATTTTTGTGATGTTTAATTTCTATTTAGACTTCTAGAAGTCTAATCTTAGTGGTCCACTTGGTAAGTCTAATATTGTTAATAGAATTCTCTAGATTTGTTTAATAAATTCATTCATTTTTTGTGTTTTCTTTTTAAGAAGTTATTTCTCCAAATACAGTCACGTATGCCTCAGACACTAGAACTCTGAAATCATTTGCAAAAGTGAGAAACAAAATCCATCATTTTCCCCTACATTTTGTGAAAATGAATGTGTAACAGATTGTTTAATTTGAAAGAGAGCATAAGTGTAGTGCTGATGAATTGCCTTAGCTTGCAACATTACTGGGAGACAGTTGATAAAAATGTCTTCATGTATAATCATTAACAGTGTAACTTTTTAAGCAGTGGTGATTGCCTGTGGATAAACAAAACAATCCAAATCTCCATCATGCATCAATATACAAACAAATCATTGCAATTTGTACTGTTATAGTTGCTAAAGAACAGTGCCATTGGGGAGGTGTCACAGAAAGGCATAGGTAGATTCAGTCCTTGCTCTACAGAGCTTAAAACTGTGGGTCCTTATAGAATATAGAGAAAGAAGTAAAACCCTCTAAAGGAATTGGCATTACTTTTCTTACCATAATATTGACTGAAGATAGGCAATTGTGCTTTAAGTCCAGGGACAGACAATACACATAAACCAGTTTAAGTGATCAGAAACTGGTTTAAACCTGTAATAGAACAGATGTTCAAACTGGTTTATGTGCACTCAAAATGGCTGAAACTGCTTTGAGATAAACCTGGTTGAGTGGAGTATCAGACTTAACTGATTTGGGACAAACTGGTTTATGCAGTGTCTCTCACAGACCCCTTGCTGGTTTAAGATGAACCAGATTCCTACAGCATCTCCACATGCTCTCTGGGCTGAGTGGGGCTGTCTGCTCCACAGCACTGCTGGCTCCCTCTCCTCTGCTCCACAAGAGACTGCGGGCTGCTCCTCCCATCCCCCTGATAAGCAGGTATTCTTCCCTCCCCACCCCAGCCCCGCCTTACAGAGAGGTGTCTGTGTATTACCTAGCAGACCACATGCTGGCTATGGTCAGTGCTGAATCAACAGGTAGCTGGTTGTTTTATCCCTATGTTGTTTTCTTAATGGGGTGATAAACACTGAGTTAGGGGTGATAAACCCTGTTATCAATTCCCTGCTGAGCTAATCAGAGTGTCCTGCTAGGGTCTGGCCACACCCCTCTCAGCTCAGTACTGTGGAAGGAAGGGAGGACTGCTGAAGTGCCCCCTGGCTTCTAGCTTGAGCCACGGAAGGCAGGTGGCTGCATTTCTAGGATGTCTGTCTGGTTACAAAACTGGTTTAGCCTAGGTATGTTAGACTAACCTGCAAAGATTGAATCAATTCAGGCTCAGGCTTTTTGAATGTCTGTCCCTAGCTTAGCTCTGAATATGGGCTGCTTCTAAACTGGCCTGTGTGACTGGCGCTAAATCCGGAGCTGCAGACACTGCTCCTCACCATAGTATGGATGCTGCCTTATTGCCATGTGGGCAAAGACCCCCACCACTACCAAACCTCCATTCTGCAGGCCAGATGAAAGGGTTTCATGGGTCAGCTGAAGGTATGGCTTAGGCTAAGTACAAACTTTAAGCTAAGTACAGACAAAAAGCCCAATGCTGAATCAAATCAGTCTTTGCAGGTTAATTTAAGCTGCAGAGATTGAACTGATTTGTAAATGAATAGACGTTCACTTTTGATTCAGGAAATGCAGGTACATGCCTTCAGTGACTCAAACCAGAAACTAGGGGGTGCTAGAGCACACCTCCCAGTGTGCCAGCTCCAAGGTTTTCCCTGCTCAAGCAGGGGAGGCGTGGCCAATCCCCACTCCAGAACTAGCTAGATGGTCTGCAGGGGGGGCAGTGCCTGCCAGGCTGAGGAGGGACTGGGTGGGGGAAAAGGTAGTGGCACTGAATTCATAAATTCTTGAATAAGAATAGTCCTCTCTCTGAAGCAAGCATGTACTGAACAGAGGGGAACAACCCTGTAGAGTCCTGCTAGCTGTGATCGTGGACTACAAATCCCAGAGGCACCTGAAAGCAGAAAAAGGAAGTGATGAGCAACCCTGCAGAGTCCTGCTGTTGTGGATCTGGACTGCAAATCCCAGCAGGAAGAGGACACTAACATACAGCCTATGATGGGATGCTGGGGGACTCTGATTTAACTTGAACCAGGAAAGCCTCTGGTACAGAAGTTTCATAAATCAGTTTGACCTAAATCAGTTAAGTCTGATACTACGTTCAACCAGGTTTATCTTAAACCAGTTTCAGCCATTTTGATTACTGAGCTTCTGTTCTGTTACAGATTTAAACCAATTTCTGATCATGGAAACCAGTTTGTTTGTAACTTCTGTCCCCAGCCTTAAGTTATGGAGATAGCTGTGAAGTAAGAGCAGAGAGGTGATCAGAAGTAGCTTCAAAAAATAGATAACCTAATTATGAAGAATAAGATGACTCAAAGGGGGGAAATGTTGTTATTACCTGTATAATGCAGAGAAGTTAGTAGTAGTTAGGTAGACTGTGAGTTATTAAGCCACTGTCTTGTGTTTAGTCCATTGCTTTTAGTGTTCAAGAAGGTTATGATTTTTGTTCCCAGACCCATAAGGTGTTTTGTAGGTGCTTCATAAATTTCACTGGACTACAAGGATATTTGATGTCAGAAAAGGAGTGGTTGTTCTGTGAAAAGTGTTCTCCTACTAGGGATTGCATGTCTCCATGTTATTTGGTAGCTTGATTTTAGAGAGCCAGAATCCAGAAACTGTAATAAAGTGTGTTGATAGTAATAGTAACAGGAAATTTTGTACTAGGGTGAGCTACTGCCAGGAGCCTTAGCTGGCATATCCTCTAGGAGGGCTTCACCCCTTCCACAAGTATCATCCCAAAAGAAGCAAGCGTGACAATTGGCAGAGCCCCAACAACTATCTTTACATTGTGTTTTTATCTTTTTCCTGTGATCATTTATTCTTAAGCATAGTTTTTGTCTAGTTTCACCTACATAGTGTCCTTGAAGGCATTGTTTGAGATATACCACATTCTCTGATAGACTTCTGTAGGATCTATGGATCCATTTGATTTCTGTTGATCAGTAGGGAGCTTTCTTCTCGTGATTATTTGAGCAAGTTTAGCAAGTTGCTTGAAACTTCTCTCCCAACTGTGTAGTTTGTCCAAACATGACAAAAAAATAGCTTGCCTCATCTTGTATGTATCCTGGATTGTCACAACTACAGCAACACTGCAACCACATAATATTAATTGACTGATAAAAACTTAAACCAGTTAGTATATTTATATTAATGCAAAAAGAAAGTAAGTTGAATATAAACACATCTAAATCTTCTTTCTCTAAAATCAGCAGGAATTCACACTCAGTTCTTGAACCATTGAACAGCTTCTTCCTGCTATCTGCTACAAGGCTTTTTACAGGATTTGTTATTATGGTTTTACTAGCATGACATATAACATGTGTTCAGATAGTCACGACACTGCTCTTTGTTATATATTAATATATGCAGCCAGGATAACCTGTTATCAAGAACTGTTGAACTGCATGACATAACTGTCACAGACATTTTCAGTGGTCAAGATAGCAGCAGCAGCAAGTTCAAATGTGCATTATTTAAAAATTATTCTGTTGGCATGTATTGAATTACATGTGTTTTCGGTAGATTTAGTAAATCTAGTACATTTTTAAATTGAATTAAAGTAATTATTATTACCATGTCTTTTTAAGTCACATTACCAATTGTTTTTGGCATTCTAAAACCAATTTAAAAAAATCTTCCCCCAGAATGTGAAGGCCCATGCAAAGGCAGAGCCGAATGATTATATGTGGGACACAGCAGAATGGACTGTACAGAAAGATACTGTCAACAAAAGATTTTTTTCTTTAATTTCATTCTGGTATAGTCATCTGAGGCGCTAAATATACCAGGCAGCACTCCCTCACCAGTGACATGATATGTAACAGAAAGGCAGCTAAATGATCAGGGAAGCAGATGTTCATGGTTAAAACACAAAGGCAATACATTTTCAGTAAAAAAGCATGCTTTTTAAAGTCAGTAGTGTTCCTTTATCCAGTATTATTAGAGAAAAAACACTCCTTTATAGTAAAATATTGTAGTGGATCATTTCACAACATGCAGGTTTCATATTTCTACAAACATTGCAGAATTGTGACTATTTTCTTCTGTCACATATGAAGGAAGATGCCACTTACACCCTCTGAAAACCAACAGCTGTGCTTGCAAACAGTCATTTTCACACACACACAGGTGGGCTCATGTGTGTAATAGGTCAGTAACTGCAAATGTTTGGTGTCACACTTATATTTTGCTTTAAAAATGTAGTCCTTTCACTCAGCATGAAGCAACAGTAATAATGGCAAACAGAGCATTGATAAACTGTGGTGAAGCCATGAGAAAGCCACAGTAATTTAGTGGTGATATATGCTCTGTGTCTAAAGGCAGTAAACTAGTAAATATTTATGATGGAAGTACACTTAGGCCTGATCTCATTGCCTTTGAAGTCAAGAAAACTTTGCCACCAACTTCACTGTAAGCAGCTCACCATGATGCATTTCCTGTTTAAAGGGAGACATTGCATCAGTTTCATGTAGGTGAATGACTGTTATAGCTAAGCTATAGCTTTCCAAATTAAAGGGTATTTAAAAAAAACTATCCCTTTTCACAATAATTTTATTTTTATACACTTTTTCAATATAATTTGGTATTCAATGTATTTGTGTTCAATATAATAATGTTTCCAATATACATTTTTCCATGACTAATAGTTGTTTCAACCTGTTATGCATCAACTATGAATTAATATTTAGGCTTTAATATCTGCACACCCAATGTGGCTGAGTTATAATTTTAAGAAGGGAAGCCTGTAATTGAGACAGTTTTGAATTTACTTACCTTTCCTTTGTTAAAATGCCAACAATAACTGCAATGTTATACTAATGCAGAGTATTCCTTTCATTTAATTTCTTTGTTTTTTTAAAACAAAAAAATAGAACTTTGATAGAAATTTAAATGAAGACACTGTAGAGTTATTTTAAAATGAAAAGTCAGATTTAATTAAAGGCAATTAACCTCAAATCTTGCTCCTTCTTTTGCTGACGCACAGTATCAAATTAACAGTAGAAACTGTGAAGGGAACAAGATTTCAGTGGGCATATACTACCTTCACACCAAACACAGGACCTGCAAAGGTCTGTTATAAACAAGTTCTCTCGACTTCAGTGTTGGTAATATGATCAAAGCAAGCTGACTTAACTTTGGAGTCCTCCATTTAGGGTCCAAGAAGTGCAGCCTGATGGCGGGAGTTGGGCAGAACTGGCACTGTGTGCGATCAGCTCTGCCAGCCCCACGGAGCGCAGCCTGGCAGCGGAAAGCAGAATGCAGTGCCGGCTCTGCCCACCTCCTGCTACCGAGCTGTGCTCCATGGGGTTGGCAGAGCCAATCGGAGCACAGTGTCATCTCCTGAGCTGGGTCTGTGATTGACAGTTGGAGACATAAACAGTGTTCCCTTTGTCCATTTCCTACCTTGGGTCCTGTCTCAAACTCAAGACAGGGTACACTTCTTACAGATTTCTAAAAGTCATCATAAATAGTTGTATAGCAAGAACCCATTCAGAGTTAAATAACTTCTATTTGGAGGATGAGATTTAACTGAGGCATGTCACTTCAGCCCAGCAGCTCTGTCACTCCTATGGTAGCATTAGGATGGGAATACCAGGCTAGCTTTTGGCCCACCTTCATACCCACCAGGGTGAATATTAGCATTGTTTTCAAATTCATATAGGTCAATTTCTAAAATAAATGTTTTTAAACATATAAAAAGACACTTGTTCTTATAGACAATGTATTTTTCCTTTACCAAGGGACAAATAAAAGCAGCTGGGAAAAATGGTGTTGGCTGTTCTTGCAGTTATTTTTTTCACATTCAGATAGGAAACCTTTTTTATTCACACACACATACACATACACACCCCTGAGACCTGAGGACAAGAATGAAAAATGTTGAGGGTAGTATTTTTCAAACCATTTTAAGTGCCTGAGCGGAGAGTATCTTACAATAAAAGGACCTTCTCAACCATAGCTACAGTGTCATCTGCATGACTCCATAATTAAATCAATGGTACAACACATGCAGCAGTTATCCCAACCAGCAAAAGGATTTTCTGAATAAGATTTAACACACACTAATTACCATCTAACTTTACTAATCTCCAGTTTGATAATATGCTCTAATAAGATTTATAGCTAGTGCTTCTTCAAGCAAGCAGACTTAGCTGGACAGTGGAGTTGGAAATGTATTATTAATATGTGGGAAACAGACTTTATATCTAAAGAGACAACATATCACACAATGTTAAAAAATGTCATGAAAATAAAAGCAAGAATATCAGAAAATATGGGAGAGGATTTTCAATACCAAAAAACCATGAAAAAATACAAACTTAGTCATCATGCTAACCAATGGTTCCCAGTAGAGCTGGATAAAATATTTTTGTTAAATGGTAAATGATAAAAACCAGGCATGATCAGTGTCATCTTTGTTTTCTGTTTTGTTGCTCAGTCATTAGAGGTTTCAATTCCCTGTACTGTAATTAGGGGGAATTGCGGCGGGGGGGAGGGCAGGAGGAGGAGGAGAAGAATCGGCTCTGGGCACCAAAGTATAAGGGACACCAGAGTGGCAATCCTCAAGGAGACTGCTGATACAGCAGCAGCAGCCCATACTGTGGCAGCAGCTTCTCTCTGAGAAGCTGGCACCTCCCACCCTGCTCTCCAGCATTCCCTTTGCCCACCCAGGGCACCAGAATCCCTAGCAATACCTCTGCCCTGCATCAGTAAATATGAGCTCATGCATCTCAAAATGCATTGCAACCATCATGCTTCAAGTCATTCTCATTCTCAGTGGGGGTAATCTCATTCTGTCCTGTGAATGCTCTTTCATGGGGTATAAATTAATTATGCACTAGAACCTTGGCACCTCCCAAGCTGGAAAGTTATTCTCATTTTCTTGACCTTTGCCTCAATGACTGTTTAAATATTTTACATTGAAGTGGGAAAGCTGCAACAGGATGGATTCAGAACAGCCTAACCTGATTATCCTCTAGTCTCCAGCTGTTTTATTAATCTAGCCCCTTCATTTCTTTTGCTTTTCTTGAAAATGCCCACAAATGAAACATTCCATTTCTGGTAAAATGTTCTGGTTGCAAACATTTTTTGATGCTTCATTTTTAAGAGAAAGAACAAAATGGAGTTCTATGTCATCCAATTACTTTGTTTAGTAGCCAACTTATCTAATGTATTTCAGGGCAGCAAACTTCATAGGTTTATTTTCTTTTTCCAGTCTCCATCATCCCATTTCTCTTACAGATTATTTTATATAACAACATACATGTGAAAAATATTTTATGGGCAATGAACTGTCACTTTTTATTGATGTTAATTATTGATGATATGCTGTTGTATTGATTATTCACATTATCAATACTAAAGTACTGGTTTGGGATATTACTACTAGCACTATTACTCCTTTTTTAATTTACTTTACCTGTGCAGGGAAAGATGTAACCATGGTGATGTGTATCAATAGTAAAATATAGACATATTTTCTTGAATATTAGAAAAACCTCAAATCATTTACAATCTATTAAAAAAGGCAAAACCACAGAAATTTGACATGCTAGAGACTCTAATTGTGAGGAGACTTGTAGGAAGGATTCTTTGAGGCAATAACATTTGTTACAATGCAGTTTTAATGATGTATTTGACAGAGAGACTAATGAACATGAATATGATACAGTTCAAAGGATAAGAAAAACTATTAACAAAGACATCAATCTGAAGTAGGATAGGGCAGTGAAGATAGCAGTAAAGAGGAGTTGACAAGGGTGGGGCGAGACAAAAAAAGAGTAAAAAAAGATTTTTTGGTGTGATACCTTTTATTGGATCAGCTGTATAGTTGGTTAAAGTTAGACAGGGTTCTGAATGTGAAACATTCTTTTTCAGGGATCTTTGCATTGGAAAGTCCATCTAACTTTAACACAACTATACAGTTGGTCCAATAAAAGGTATCATCCCAAAAAATCCTTGCCTCTCGCATAATTCCTGGACCATTACTCTAACACTATCATAACAGAAGGACATTAAGAAAAGCAAGATTTGTTAAATTTTGCAAATGGCCAAGCTACAGGAAGAGAAGAAAGCTAGGAGAGAAGTTTTGAAGTGGGGAGCAACAAATCTGAACAGAAATTGAATATAACATCAGGACTGGTGACTGAGTTTAAATGAAGAGGACAAAAGTCTGCAAGGACTTCAGCTGTGGGGAAACGAGGTTCAAGAGCTAGGAAGAAAGCAGAAACAGCTTAGTGAGATTAAGATATTGGAGTTTGTAAGAAAGTTAGAAACAGAAGATGGCACTGTGATTAGAAAAGAAGAGAAGTTTGTGATCATAGGATGTGCAGGAAGTAACAGTAAAAAGATATGCTTTGGATGGTAGGGGGACACTGGGAGTCATTAGCAGGGCTGCTGAGCTTACATGGGAAATGATATTTTGTAAAGAGGAAATGGAAATTATATACAGCGAGAAACACTCTAAGATAATACGATCATCCTGGATTTACCCAGGATATGCCCCCAACACCTCCTACTTCCAAGTCAGAGCCAATTATTTTGTCTAGACCAGTTGCCTATATAGCAGGTGTGGTCAAACTTTTTAACCCTTCACCCAGTAAAACAAATTCTTTGTCCAAGAACCACAGGCTATGACATTTTCAAGATGCATATTCCCCAACTTAGTGACCTACGCACAGGGCACGTCTACACGAGACACTATATTGCTGTAGCAATGCACTACAGTGACATAGCATCGCCAGACATTATCTATGATGCCGACACTATGTCACTATAGCAATGAGCTACTTTGCTATAGCATGTCACTACAGCAACATAGCTGCTAAAAATAACCACATGCCACCAGGACAGTGCAATAACAGCTGTTACTGCATCATCATTTAGTACTTCCTAAAGCAAGTACTAAATGACGGCACAGTAATAACTGCACCACGGGGGGCACATGTACATGCACCCACAGTGCCCTAGCTTAAATAATAACTCATTGTTAAATAACTCTTAAAATTAATAAGCAAGAACTGAAGAAAATCTTGAGTAGAAAGTGATGTGAACAGATAGAGACAAAAATAATGTTTTTATTTAACTACTACTCTTTTCTCAGAAGTGCATTTAAACTAAGAGTTTCATGAAGCTTGCAAGCCAGATTGACTATCCCTCTACAGAACCATTGGTCCCAAGTGCACAATGTCAGGGGATCCATGAAGTATTCACTATATATATTTTTCCGGAAAGTAGCTTGAAGTCTGGTACTGCTTCCCTTCCTGGATATTGACCAGGCTACTGTTTTGGAGATAACACACTGAACACCTGTGCATTTGAACTTGGGCATAGACAAAACAATGCAGAGCGTGTGTGTGGGTCTCTGCATGTTCTCAGGATTCATATCTTCTGTCTACCACAACCTGCTGAGAATTCAGACCCATTAGTCCATCTA